GTCGTGCATGCTATGCTATTTAATCCAATTCAGGAAGGAAGAAATAATGTAATTTTACCTTTCTCAAAATGAATTACTATTTTGAATTAAAAGTTGTCTTCCTCCTTATCTGGCTGGCAACAAAAAAGGCCAGATTGTCGTGCATGCTATGCTATTTAATCCAATTCAGGAAGGAAGAAATAATGTAATTTTACCTTTCTCAAAATGAATTACTATTTTGAATTAAAAGTTGTCTTCCTCCTTATCTGGCTGGCAACAAAAAGGCCAGATTGTCGTGCATGCTATTTAATCCAATTCAGGAAGGAAGAAATGCTATTTTTGAATCCAATTCAGGAAGGAAGAAATAATGTAATTTTTTTACCTTTCACAAAATGAATTACTATTTTGAATTAAAAGTTGTCTTCCTCCTTATCTGGCTGGCAAAAAAAAAGGCCAGATTGTCGTGCATGCTATGCTATTTAATCCAATTCAGGAAGGAAATTTTAAAAAATGAATTACTATTTTGAATTAAAAGTTTTTCCTTTCTGGCTGGCAACAAAAAGGCAAAATGAATTAATTCTATTTTTAATTGAATTACTATTTTGAATTAAAGTCTTCCTCCTTATCTGGCTGGCAACAAAAGGCCAGATTGTCGTGCATGCTATGCTATTTAATCCAATTCAGGAAGGAAGAAATAATGTAATTTTACCTTTCTCAAAATGAATTACTATTTTGAATTAAAAGTTGTCTTCCTCCTTATCTGGCTGGCAACAAAAAGGCCAGATTGTCGTGCATGCTATGCTATTTAATCCAATTCAGGAAGGAAGAAATAATGTAATTTTACCTTTCTCAAAATGAATTACTATTTTGAATTAAAAGTTGTCTTCCTCCTTATCTGGCTGGCAAACAAAAAAGGCCAGATTGTCGTGCATGCTATGCTATTTAATCCAATTCAGGAAGGAAGAAATAATGTAATTTTACCTTTCACAAAATGAATTACTATTTTGAATTAAAAGTTGTCTTCCTCCTTATCTGGCTGGCAAACAAAAAGGCCAGATTGTCGTGCATGCTATGCTATTTAATCCAATTCAGGAAGGAAGAAATAATGTAATTTTACCTTTCTCAAAATGAATTACTATTTTGAATTAAAAGTTGTCTTCCTCCTTATCTGGCTGGCAACAAAAGGCCAGATTGTCGTGCATGCTATGCTATTTAATCCAATTCAGGAAGGAAGAAATAATGTAATTTTACCTTTCTCAAAATGAATTACTATTTTGAATTAAAAGTTGTCTTCCTCCTTATCTGGCTGGCAACAAAAGGCCAGATTGTCGTGCATGCTATGCTATTTAATCCAATTGTCATCTGGAAGGAAGAAAAGAATGTAATTTTACCTTTCTCAAAATGAATTACTATTTTGAATTAAAAGTTGTCTTCCTCCTTATCTGGCTGGCAACAAAAAAAGGCCAGATTGTCGTGCATGCTATGCTATTTAATCCAATTCAGGAAGGAAGAAATAATGTAATTTTACCTTTCACAAAATGAATTACTATTTTGAATTAAAAGTTGTCTTCCTCCTTATCTGGCTGGCAAAAAAAGGCCAGATTGTCGTGCATGCTATGCTATTTAATCCAATTCAGGAAGGAAGAAATAATGTAATTTTACCTTTCTCAAAAATGAATTACTATTTTGAATTAAAAGTTGTCTTCCTCCTTATCTGGCTGGCAACAAAAAAGGCCAGATTGTCGTGCATGCTATGCTATTTAATCCAATTCAGGAAGGAAGAAATAATGTAATTTTACCTTTCACAAAATGAATTACTATTTTGAATTAAAAGTTGTCTTCCTCCTTATCTGGCTGGCAACAAAAGGCCAGATTGTCGTGCATGCTATGCTATTTAATCCAATTCAGGAAGGAAGAAATAATGTAATTTTACCTTTCTCAAAATGAATTACTATTTTAAATTAAAAGTTGTCTTCCTCCTTATCTGGCTGGCAACAAAAAGGCCAGATTGTCATGCATGCTATGCTATTTAATCCAATTCAGGAAGGAAGAAATAATGTAATTTTACCTTTCTCAAAATGAATTACTATTTTGAATTAAAAGTTGTCTTCCTCCTTATCTGGCTGGCAACAAAAAGGCCAGATTGTCGTGCATGCTATGCTATTTAATCCAATTCAGGAAGGAAGAAATAATGTAATTTTACCTTTCTCAAAAATGAATTACTATTTTAAATTAAAAGTTGTCTTCCTCCTTATCTGGCTGGCAACAAAAAGGCCAGATTGTCGTGCATGCTATGCTATTTAATCCAATTCAGGAAGGAAGAAATAATGTAATTTTACCTTTCAAAAATGAATTACTATTTTGAATTAAAAGTTGTCTTCCTCCTTATCTGGCTGGCAAAAAAAGGCCAGATTGTCGTGCATGCTATGCTATTTAATCCAATTCAGGAAGGAAGAAATAATGTAATTTTACCTTTCTCAAATGAATTACTATTTTGAATTAAAAGTTGTCTTCCTCCTTATCTGGCTGGCAAAAAAGCCAGATTGTCGTGCATGCTATGCTATTTAATCCAATTCAGGAAGGAAGAAATAATGTAATTTTTACCTTTCTCAAAATGAATTACTATTTTAAATTAAAAGTTGTCTTCCTCCTTATCTGGCTGGCAACAAAAAGGCCAGATTGTCGCATGCTATGCTATTTAATCCAATTCAGGAAGGAAGAAATAATGTAATTTTACCTTTCTCAAAATGAATTACTATTTTGAATTAAAAGTTGTCTTCCTCCTTATCTGGCTGGCAACAAAAAGGCCAGATTGTCGTGCATGCTATGCTATTTAATCCAATTCAGGAAGGAAGAAATAATGTAATTTTACCTTTCACAAAATGAATTACTATTTTGAATTAAAAGTTGTCTTCCTCCTTATCTGGCTGGCAACAAAAAGGCCAGATTGTCGTGCCTGCTATGCTATTTAATCCAATTCAGGAAAGAAGAAATGTAATTTTACTTTTCTCAAAATGCATTACTATTTTCAATTAAGAGTTGCCTTTCTCCTTATCTGTCTGGCAACAAAAAGGCCAGAGAGTCATGCCTGTTATGCTATTTAATCCAATTCAGGAAGGAAGAAATGTAATTTTACCTTTCTCGAAATGAATTACTATTCTGAATTAAGAGTTGTCTTTCTCCTTAACTGGCTAGCAACAAAAAGGCCAGAGAGTCATGCCTGCTATGGTATTTAAATAATGTAATTTTACCTTTATCAAAATGAATTACTATTTTGAATTAAAAGTTGTCGTCCTCCTTATCTGGCTGGCAACAAAAAGGCCTTAGTGTTATGCCTGCTATGCTATTTAATCCAATTCAGGAAGGAAGAAATAATATAATTTTACCTTTCTCAAAATGAATTACAATTTTGAATTTAGACTTTTTCTACTCCTAAACTCCTTACAATGAAAACTACAGACCAGTCTGCTACAATATTTAATCCAAATTTAGAGGAGGAAGAGATGGATTCATACCTTTCCCATTTACTTGGGATTAAACTGAATATCTTATTACTACTAACCATTGAAGAAGCTTATACTTACAAGTAACAAACATTCTAAATTTTACACATTATCACAGAAAATATTTTATATTAACTTACAATTAGAGATTTCCATATACATAGGATAAATAACGCTTATAAAAATAACTTCTGAAATCAAACTATAGACCTTGTAATCTTCAGAGCATTGCTGTAATAACTAAGCTCAAGAAAAGAACCAAATTCATTGTTGATATGGTCACATAGCAGACACAGTCTTTGTTATCAATATCTAAATAAATTCTATAAGAGATACATATTTTAATTACAGACAGGTCCTAACAAGTCTATTACATTTCAGGCTATGCATAAACAAACTGGTACATATTTAAAAGCAATGTGGTATTGGAGTTTTGTTAACAATTACCAAAAACATTTGTAATATGATGAAAAAACCATTATATCATTTGTTTTAAATAATAAACATTAAGAAGAAATATAGACTCAAATTTCAGTTAAAACATTTTCATAAATACTAAAGCTGGAATGATTTATAACATACAGGACACAAAAATAAATAACAAGATACAAAGTTGTTTGTACTGACATGTTTTGGTTGAAACTTTAACTTGTGTTCATACAAACCAAAATATTCAGTAAAATATCAAAGTAAAACATTTGAACTTAACTACAAAAGATTGGCATTAAGACTCAATGGCATATTTCATTTTTTTGTTGTTTCATGGTGTAAAGGAATTGTTTCTTTAAGTATACAATCTAAATTTAAACAAAAAAATAGCTATTTCTGTTTGTTATTGCAATAAAATTAGTTGTACACAACTTATTCACATTAGAAAGTACTATATTTACTTGGATATCATTTGTTTTGTACATAATGCAATCCCTATTTTTATAAATATATTTTATTTTATATCCAATACAGACTTTATTGTATGTGGAAGATTTAAAATGGTCAGTTGTCAATTTGTACAATGCATTGTTTTGTCATTAACTTGATTTTAAACGTCAATGTAAACACTAAATATGTTTAGGAATAAAGGTTTCTGCCACAAAAGTGTCCACTATTGACTTATAGCAAATCATGAAAAAAAAAAAAATTGTCAAAATATTTTTTTTTCTTTAGAATGTAACCCAAAACTTTAGCATGAACTGTACATGAATAAATATCATTTCAAAGTCATAAGTGCAAACCTCTAAGTAGATAGAAACACAATCCTAATAGTAATGGTAAACTTATAAAATAATTAATAAATATAAAATGTATATGCTGAAATAAGTTCTTAGATATTTGTATTCAGATTAAAAACATAAAAAGTTTCTGAGTCAAATATAAAAAACACACATGTACCAAAATTTGGACAGGAGTTGAATCAATTGAATATTTTCTTGTATAAACATTCAAATACGACGGAGACCAGTTATCTTTGTTAGATATTTTAAATATAAACAGTTAAAATAATTTTTCAAATATACATACCTTTGACAAACAATGCCAATTATGCTGTCGACTCTGTAAAGACATTCCATTACTGAAAGAACTCATCTTGATCTCTGCAGGATAATATCGATTAAAAATTTCACCTATTAAGTATCCATTTGCTAAATCCCTACAATAGTAAAAGATGCAAAAGATATAAAAGAAATATATTGCTTATCAGATAACTGAAAATGATGTGAATAAACAATGGAATATAAACAAAATATATACAATGTTTAGTGATAGTGAAACATTAATAATTTTTTACTACTATTTCTTTTATCTTGTTTAAGATTTTTCAGATCATGGATCACTTTTAATGTAGACTAACATTGATCAAGGTGACATAACAAGTTTTGAAATTTTCAAAATGTTTGAATACTTTCTGGACACATTTCATAAATAGATACATTCTATAATTGTTATTGTTTTTTTTTTAAAATACTATTCTCTATCACTGAAATAAAAAATAAACTGTTATTAACATTCTTGAGATTAACATTATCATCCTTATAATAACATTCTCCACAAAATGTTAGTTGATATATATAAAAAATTATTAACCCTTTCACTCAGAGTCTCCCAACCTGGGTGATATCATTTACATTTGGCTGATTTCAACTGTTGGGTGGGTGATGAGCAACTGAACAGAAAATGGTGGGGAAATGGAAATTTTGGTGGGTGATATAGGATTTTGAGTATGAAAACATATGCTATCTTAAAAAAATATTCAAAGGAGATATCAAAAGAGCCTGTATAAAAAAAAAAACAGGAAGCTAAATGAGAATAACTGGTTCGCAATGCTAGATAAGATATAAATATTCCCAAAAATGAGAAATATTTTGGTATTTTCTTTAATTTTGGGAAGAGTCATTAACGTTCAAATAGTTCTTCAGACAAAATAACTTTCTTTCAGATATAAACCAAATATGGGAAGTCGAAGAACAACAAAAAATATTTGCTGAATTTTTATTAGTTTCTAGTAGTGTATATTGTTTTTAATTTTATAATTATGAACAAAAATTGTTTAATTTTTTTGTCAACATTTGCAACACTAACCCTAAACATAAAACTAATTTGACCATAAAACTAAATTATATTTCAATGGTCAATTTTGCTTTTGTTTGTACTTTAGTAGTAGAAGCAGTAGCCTCCACATAAGTCAGTGTTATTTGTTATCACACTTTGGTATTTTCTACTATATCATAGTCAATCTACAAACCAGTAACAAACAATTTTGGTATGCTTTTGCATATTTACTATACAGGTGGGCAGTGGAAGAATTTTCAATGTGAAAATGGGCAATGATGCAAAAAAAGGTTGGGAATCCCTGCTTTAAAGGAATTTCTTAAAATTTTCACACAAAAGTAGTTATAGAAAGTAATTCTAATCTGGCCCAATATATTTTATTCCTTCAATGTATTGTCAAAAATCATCAAATATGGAAATAAAACTAAAAGAAAAAAGGTATCAACTCAAAACATTTATAAATAGCATACATGTTGATATGACTATACATGTGCATAAACAAGAGACACTGGGAATTTTAAATTTAGCAAAAGAGAATTTTTTTATTTGTTTTGGTTATTGTTGAGGTGTTGAGTGTTTCCACGTGCATGTATTGAAATAAGGACAAACACATACGTAGGGAAAAATACTGGTATATCTGAAGAGGTATTTACAACAGAGAGATTAGTAGTCAAACAAACACAGGTTAGTCAGTAACAATCAGAAAGAGTATAAAGTCCAACTGTATCTTCTGGTAGAGAGACGGAAGTGTGATGGTCACCTGATCTTCCCAGAACTCTATAGAACTGTCCTATTAGCAGTAGAGAGATCAGTCCATTCTGATGAGAAGGTGGGTGCGCCCCAACAGTTATATAAATCTATAAATATATTATTATAAATATATAATCTATCTAATTTCATTTATATACTTTTTCTTTTGTTTCCATCAACTTTGTTATTAAATATCACACATTGTGATAACAGAAGATCTGCCAAGAATCTATCTATCTATCTATCTATCTATCTATCTATCTATCTATCTATCTATCTATCTATCTAAACAAAAATGCCATGATCCCAAAGGCAGCAAACAAAAGAGGATTGCTTTTATATGCAGTGTAGATATGATATGAATACAAAATGAGTTTTATTAAGTAACTTTAAGTTTACAACTAAGTGTTATTTTTTTTATGAAAAGTATGTTACTTCTTTTATTTTATACTGCTATTTCACAGTAACCCTTTTGTTACTATTACTACCAACTGGCAACTATTGTGAAGTGTATGATTTGAAGTTTCCTACTTGAATGGTCCTTCTTGTTAGTAGACAGACTATACATACAAGTTTATGTATACATATGTAAATGAGGCAAAGATTTGGGGTTTTTATGAATGATGTAGGATCTTGATCTTATAATTTTGGCTTTGCAAGTGTTGGCTGAAGGTGAAAGAAAATCAGAGTAGAAGAAAATGCCAAGTGTCATGAATTTACTTAAGGTGGGCTTCAACTTGCCAGGAAGTGACCCACAAACTTGATTTCATGATCTTCTTCTGCAGCATATATGGAATGAGACATGCAGAATCAAGTTGCAACAGACTGCCACTGACTCTGTTATAATTTTAAGTGGCACCTTCTGTAGAATGTCCATTATGCGTAGGCCTCTTTATCCACTGGTTCAACTATTGAGATCTGTTATAATTGTCATCCGCTTCTTCCACCGTTGATGTCTTGGGGTTGGTTGTGCTTAGTCTGAATGCTCGTCTTCAACCTTGCCAGCAAAAGTAGCCCTACTAGGAGTTCAGAACTCTGGACATCATTGTTCTCAGGGTTGTTGGACCAGGCAAACCCCTCCACCACAAGGAACGACCATCAGAATTACAAACATAGAAACATCGACACACAGAGTAGACACACATATCTATTTTTACACTGGATGTCGGAGTGAGTAAACAGTTTGTCATCAAATGTTACTTTAATGACAATAATAGAAACAAAACAATAAATAAGAAAAGAATTAAAATTATAAGATTATCATTATGAGAACATTTTTTTTATTATTATTCTCGTTGTTAAAAATATTTGAAAGATAAATGATAGCGAACGAAATTGAATATTCCGAACCAATAGTAAAAACAAAAACAGAAAAAAAGGCTGAAATAACAAAGTAAATAAAAGTGAAACAAAAGAAAGTTACGACCCCAAACGCTTTTCCTACAAATTTGAAAATACATCCTTATCAATAAAAATGTACGTTACAATCAATAAATAAGAAAAGGATAAAAAATAAATAAAATTATCGGCAAATGTTATAATGTTTGAATGATAAATGATAGAAACTCTGAGTTTGGTCAAAAGTATATAAGCTGACACCTCTGGGCTAAAACCAGAGGAATGGACAGCAGGAGAGGATGGAACAAATGAACACAAGCATGTATGATGTGTTAAGGAGCAATTAAGAAGTCATCTGCTAATGATATTTCTGCCTTGCTTAGGGTCAAGAATAACACAGTAGATTAATACTGACCTATTTCTTAAGAGTATTACTATCCCTATCTTGGTCTTACTTCAAAATGACCACTAACAGACATTTCTCTAGACTGCTACCAATATCCGCGTTATAAACAAACATTTTGCTACACTGAATATCAAAAGACTCACTGATCGCCCTAAATAAAATAAATAAAAATATATTTATTTTAAACATTTGAATCAGTTTGTTTTATTCCAAACTTCCTAGATAAAATAATTATCCTACCACTTAAATACACTTGTAACCTCCCGACATACTACATGGTACATACAATTATCACATCTTTTATAATAATTTAAATTTTATTATTGTTGGATGAAGTATAATCAACTATTATTCTTTTTGACTTCTTTTTTCTTAATTTCTGTTGCGATTTGGTGTAACTAACAGCTGTAAAATGATAGTCCGAGTAGTTGCAATAAAAAGCAACTGAACTTAAGATGAAAGAAACATTAAAAACATTAATATATATAACCAGTTATCACTTATTTTTAAACACACCCGTCAGCCTGGGGGCTAGCCAAGCCCCTATTACAGATGCCTGTTAATACTTCAACTATGCTAAGCAGACCTTAGTTACAGTTTCTGGAAGAGAACATATCATTTGGAATTAGCAATGATTTTGAATAAGACTAATATGAATTGTGACATACATTCTGATATAACCATCAACAGCTTCTGAACTGTACCATCTGCTCTCAATTTCATGTGTGGTTTTCAGAGACTTTCCAAATGTACCATATAATGAGTTTGCATCTCCAAGTTGATAAAACCAGAAACTTACTTCTCTAACCAATTGAGATGGTGAGATTTGAACTCAGGTTTCATGGTCAGATGGTTAACAGCTAATATCAGTAGTTGTTCAGAGGCAATTATATACAGAGAATCATATACTGGTGATAGAAACTGACATAATGGAATGGGAAATAAAGAGCGTAAGATGACTCACCAATTATCAACAGACCAATACAAATATAATCAGGATAAATCCTCCCTGAGTCAAACCTGTTAATAGGATGAACAAACAGGAATGAACCCAAAAGATCTCTCAAAGTACTATCCTACTAATCTTAGTTCACAACTCTTTCTATCCCTTTCACCACAATTCTACCTTTATTCACACACCCCCACACACACACATGTTCCTGTAATCCTAAAACCAAGTTTATATGTCATTTAAGATATCTAAGCTTAGATTATTACAACACAAAGCCAAATGGAGGGGAATATGGAGTGGAAAGGCATCCAAATGTGACAAGCTTGCATTGAAAATAAAATTTAATGTCTTGATATTTACCTCAGATTCAACACTGACCTGTGGGAAATATATGCTAGAACCAGCTACAAGGTAAGTCACTATAAACCTTCATCTAACTTAAAGCAATATATAGAATATTTGAAAATATATTTATTTTGAATTAAGGATAAAAAAATCAGGAAGGGACAATTCAACATTGCCAAGTGAGTGTTGGGACAACTCAAGACCAATACAATTCAGGACTGAAATAACACAGGACTGAAATAACATAGGAGTGAGACAACTCAGAACTGGGACAACTCAAAACTGAGACAACTCAACACTAGAAAAACAT